TTCATATTTCTTTTTTTTTAAAAAAATAACAGGACCCACTAACAAAAACTTGTTGGCAATTTAAAATAAAATAAGAATATTAAAGTTATAAATTGTACAGTATGTGTTATTATAAATTTCAGGAAATAATGGCAGAGCAGTCCAATATAGTTGTTGTAGGAGGAGCTGAAAACATGAGTCAATATCCTTTTGCTGTTCGTAATGTAAGATTTGGAACAGTTTTAAGTTCTTCATATGAATTTGAGGACTCACTGTGGTTGGGATTGATTGATACATATTGCAGTTTGCCTATGGCTTTAACAGCAGAAAAGTTGGCAAAGGAATGTAAAATTGATCGTGAAGAGACTGATAAATTTGCATTGAGGTCCCAAGAACTTTGGAAAACTGGTAAAATCCCATTGTTTTTAAAAACATTTCCTTCATTTTTTTAAAAATATTTTGTCATTGTTCCCAACAGCTCATGATAAGGGCCATTTTAAAGAAGAACTTGCTCCAGTAACAATTGTTGTTAAAAAAAAAGAAGTAGTAGTAGATACTGATGAACATCCCAGACCAGAAACTACATTGGAAAAATTGAAAAAGCTTCCATCTCTTTTTGCAAAAGAAGGAGTAGTAACTGCAGGCACTGCTTCTGTAAGAAATTTTAAAATAATATATTTTTTAATTTTTTTGATAAGTTTTTCAATAAGTATTGTAACTTTGTGACAAATGATAAAACATTAAAATTATAGGGAATTTGTGATGGAGCTGCAGCTTTGGTATTAGCTAGTGAAGCTGCTGTTAAAAGTAATTGTTATAAGCCATTGGCAAGAATGGTTGGATACAGTGTTGTTGGTGTAGAGCCATCTATCATGGGAATAGGTCCTGCACCTGCAATCAAAAAACTTTTAGAAAAAACTGGCCTTACTTTGAATGATATCGATTTGGTAGAGGTTGGTATTTCTTTTTTTTAAATAATATTTTATATTTTATTATGGTAATTTAAAAACTCATTATAAATTTGCAGATCAATGAAGCTTTTAGTGCTCAAACTTTGGCATGTGCTAAAGATTTACAGTTGGACATAAATAAACTAAATGTAAATGGCGGAGCTGTTGCTTTGGGTCATCCTTTGGGAGCGAGTGGGTCTAGAATTACTACTCATTTAATTCATGAATTGAGAAGAAGAAAAATGAAATATGGTATTGGTTCTGCTTGTATTGGTGGAGGACAAGGAATTGCAGTACTCATAGAAGCTTTAAATTAAGTTTTATTTACTGAAGATGCAATTTACTCTTTTTTTTATATTAATTTCAAAATTTATATATACATATTTTTTTATAATTATTTTTGTACCAATTTTTACATATTAAATATATTTATAAATTCAAAGCATGAAATAAATTAATGTTTTAAAATAAAATGATTCTTATCTTTTAAGAAACGATTATCTGTGTAATAAATTTTTAAAAATTTCCTAACCCAAAAAAAAAGCTCTAATTACCCAACTGAAAACACCGCCTTTTAAAGCAATTGAGTTAAGTTACCAACCCTTGAAAAGGAAACTCTTGAATCAGCCATTACAGTTTACCCGAGAATAGAAAACAATTAGGGTTTATTACGTGAATTATGTTTTTATTTGCAGTATGGACAATTTAACTACACTTTTAAACTCAGGAAATAAAAACATTGACAATGAAAGCACTTTTACTAATTACATGGGTGCTATTGTTGATCAAACAAGTGGTTTTGACTCTAATGACCCTGGATTTAAAAGAAGAAGGTAATGTAAATAAGAACGTAAACAAAAGACTACGTAAAGTACTGTCTTACAAATTATTTAACTTGGCGCTAAATTCCTTCCACAGTAGTTCAAGATCTATTAAACGAAGGAAATTTGATGATGAATTAGTGCAATATTCTTCCCGTATTGAATCTAATTCAACCCCAAGCGCTCCGAGTGGTTCAAAGGCTAGCCGAACGAGAACCCAATCACTCTCTTCCTCGGTTACCGGTGAACCTTCTCAGCCATTATCTCCTGCCACCCCGTTAATTTCTAGAAGAAATTCAGGTAAACAACCTAATGTTGGACAATTTAAACCATTTTCATCTTCACAACGACATGGAGGAAGAGGAAGGCAAAGACATGGGAGACATTCATTCTCATCTTCTACAAAAGATCTGGGTAGATGGAAACCTACTGACGATTTATCCTTAGCTCTAGGAGTATTACAGGTGAAGCATAACTATCAATTAGTAAAATTAAAAATAAACCTAATATTTAGACAATGAATAGAAGAAAATTCAGTAAAAAATTTAAAAATTTCTTTTTACAGACGAATGACCTCAGAGTGGTTGAAAGAGGAGTAAAATTTTCTTGTCGATTTACATTTCAAGAAATTCAACAAAGATGGCAAGCTTTATTATATGACCCAATAGTTTCTAAAATTGCTGTAGCTGCTATTAGAAATCTACATCCTGATATGATAGCAGCAGTTCAAGCTAGGGCTTTATTTAGTAAAACTGAAGAAGATCTCTTGGGAACCATAAAATCAGTTAATTAATTTAAATATACAATTGGCCAAAAAAAAAAAAAATTTGGTTAAAATTTCACTTAAATAATATTTAAATAATTATCGTTAAGTTTAACTATTTTTGTTTTTCTAATTTTTTTTTTTTTAGACTGAAACGCCAACCTTAGAATCACTACAAACTTTACTCGATAACAACCCACAAACATTTTACCCTACTAGAACAGCAAAAAGTTTATTCAATCATTGGCAATTATTAAAACAGTATCAATTACTTCCTGATCAAAGTGTTCAGGTATTATTTGTTAATTGCGATACTAAAAACTTATTACGAATTAATAAAAGTGATGGATATTAATGAGATTTTGTATTTGCGAATCAGAGTCTTCCTCGCGGGGATTTGGTTTTGAATTTTTCCGATGCCGAAGAACTGATAAACGATACCGAATTAGGAGACCCCAGAGATGAAGCTCTGGAAAACGAACTTGCGATAGCGGATCGCAGAGCCAAAAAAGAAATAAGAACATTAGAATGTGAATTATCTAGGTGGCAGGTTTTGGTCGACATAGTTACTGGTATTAGCACGCCTGATTTCGATAACCAAACTTTGGCTGTGCTCCGAGGAAGACTTGTGAGATATTTAATGCGAAGCAGAGAAGTAATTTCATTTAAAATTTAAAAAATACTTTTTAGTTTATTTATAGGATGACAATAAATACATTTTTTTATTTTTCACAGATATCAGTTGGCCGATGCACGAAGGATCACAATGTCGATATAGACCTGGCTTTAGAAGGACCTGCTGGAAAAGTTTCACGTCGTCAAGGTACTATTCGTTTGCGTAATAACGGAGATTTTTTTTTATCGAGCGAAGGGAAAAGACCATTTTATGTAGACGGCCGACCGATTTTACCAGGCAATAAATATAGACTGAATAATAATTCCGTAGTCGAGGTAACGCATTTTAATATTATTATCACGATATTTTAAATAAATTATTAATATATATTAAAAGTTTTTTTTTAATTTAAGATTGCTGGATTACGTTTTATTTTTCTCGTTAATCAAGATTTAATTGGAGTCATTCGACACGAAGCTGCGAAAATGAATTTACAGTCATAGTTTTAATTAAACAGTATTTAAATTTTAAAAATTGTGCATGAGTAATTTGAACATTTGAGAATGAAAAGATTGAGTTAAAATTTTTTTTTAAATTTAATTTAGTGATTATTAATAATGATAATAATAATAAATTAGAGTAAATATATTTTTTAATAAATTTTAACTTGTAATTTTTTTTTTTTTTTTTTTTTTTAACATAAACTCTAAACGTGGCAAATTTTTTTTTTTCTCATCATTCAAATTAATTTTTTTTCATGACCCTTTTAAGCCCACATAAATAAACATCTTTAAAAGTTTTTAATTAAAAAAATATTTAAATAATAAATTAAATAAAATGTTCTCATGTATCATTCTTTTTTTTTTTTTTTTTTTTTTTCTAATAGGAAGTTTAATTAAAAAACTTTATTATTATTGTATTGTTATGGATAAATTCAAGCTGAGATTTTAGCGAGCCTTAAAAAGTTTTATTTTTTAAATAAATTATAATTTATTTATTAAGTTTATTAATAAAAAATAAAAACGTTATAACTCTTGGTAAACCAAAAACAAAAAATTAAAAAATTTAAAAAAAAAAAAAAAAAGGAAAATTTTTCATTGATTTTGATAAATGATACCAACAGACGTTAATGAAATGAAAAGTTTTTTTTTTTTTTAAGTGGGTGTATTATTTGTGAGCACACCCACAACACATCTGAATTTAATTATTATTAACTTATTAAAGGTACATAAATAAATAAATAATTAAAACCTTAACAAAAAATATATATATATATCAAGGAATACACAATATGATATATATATTTTTTCAAACTTAAATGTTTATGACGGAATTTAAATCATTTATTGCTTAAATAATGGATAGGAGGAGGAGGAGGAGGAGGGTTGGGACAAACAACAAACGCCTTCTTAATAAGTCTTCAGGTGAAGACAAGGATAAATAATCAACGCAGGCGGGAATCATATAACGGGTAACGCAAGCGCGATAAAAAGAAAATTTTTTTGGAAGGAAAAGTACCCAAAATTTAAGAAAATTATTTATTTAACGACAGTCAGTTTCCTTTCCAGTTTCACGTCTCCCAGCAAAAATTTTTTCTTATATAAGTTCATATACGAAAAAATAATTATAATAATAATAATAATAACGTTAGAGGAATCATGACGTGCAGAAAAAGAAATTTTAGAAGTACTTGTTGTCTAACTTTTTTGGGTCTCATCTACATTTTAAGATCAACTCATTGTTATTTGACAGGTATGATTAATTTTTCCTTTTTTTTTTAAAAAAAAAAAAAACCGAACTAAAAAATGGCGGTGGCGGCAGCAAAAAAAAAAAAAAAAAAAGTTTATTGAACTATCGTTTCGATTTGATTTTGCAAAAAAAAAAAAATTATAAATATTTTAATAATAAATAAATACTCATAATCTTAACAAAAAAAAGAAGAAAGTATGAAATTTTAGAAAGTTTATTCATTTTTTTTAATAATTAATAATAATAATAATAAATTTTTAAACCGTAAAAAAAAAAAATTTTATAAAATAAAAATTATTTAATTAATTAATTTATTTATTTATTTTATTTTTTTTAGATGAATACGACGAAGATATGATATTATTGAATGATAAAGAAGATTTTTATAAAAACTATCAAGAAGAATATGATAATATAAATAATAATATTAATAATAATGATTATTTAATGATAAATAAAAAAGATCCGGCATTTACACCATATATTAGCGTAGGTAAGTGAAATCGTTAAAATTTTTCTTAAACGAACCGTTGTAATAATAATAATAATAATAATAAATATTTTTTTTTTTTTAAATTTGTTTTATTATAAATTTAAGGTATAAAAACAAAAAAAAAAAAGAAAAAAATTTTAAGTTGATTTAATAGATTTTTAACGGATCGGTCGGTTGACGAGTAATTTATCGGTAGAATGTTTTCCCGCCAAAAAAAAAAAAAGAAAAGAAATTATTTTAATTTGCTCGAGTAATATTATGTCAAAAAAAAAGAAAAAAAAAAGTGAAAGCTTTTAAAATACAGAGTAAATTTTATTTTTGTTTTTTATTCGTTTCCCCTCCCTCCTCCCACTTTTTCCCTTAATTTTATAATTGCCCCTTAAAACTTTCTTTAAAATATTTTATTAAATAAATACAATTTATTCGATTTTCAAAATGGCGTTCTCTAACAGACTTAAGCACAGCGAAAAAAAAAAAACTATAGAAATCTTTCACGTAAATAAATAATACTATGAATATTATTATTATTATTATTATTATTATTATTATTATAACTAATAAAATAAATTTGTTAATACTTAAAAACGGAAGAAAAAAATTTGTTTTTATTTTACGGTTGAAAAAAAAAAAATTTTTTAAAACTAAATCGAGAGCAATTTGCAAAAATTTATGTTCTAAAATGTTATAAACATTATGTATTGTTTATAAACAAAAAAAAAAAAAAATGCAACAAATACTTTTTTTTTGTTTCATCTTGCGTAAATAATTATTATTTTTACCGGGAAAATTTTTTCTTTTTTTCGATCAATGAACTTAAATTATTATTATTAATAACTATATTTCAAATTTCCCTTTCGATAAAAAAGGTGTTTGCACACACACACACACACACACGTATAGTTTGCAATATTATTATTATTATTATTATTATTATTATTATTATTATTATTATTATTATTATTATATATTATATATTATTATTATTATTATATTATTATTATGGTCACTCTTAAACACGACAAGGCTCTTATTTGTCGGGGTTTTTAAGCATTTATCCCAGGTTTCTACCCGATTCCTTAGAGACAAATGATCGAATTTCGGTGGTTATTATTATTATTATTATTATTATTATTATTATTATTATTATTATTATTAATTTCTTATCAATATTCATTTATCACAAGGATTTTATATACGAAAAAAAAATGTAAAATCACGTTAGATAATTTTTAAAAAAATTTGACAAAATATATATATAAAAATTTAATTGATTATGGATCATTTTGTCATTTCACCATTGATGATGATGATGATTAATAACTTATTTAATAATTTTATTAATTTGATACCCATCACCGTATTAAATAAATAAATAAATCGAATAATTACGTCAAAAAAGTTTTAATAAATACGTATAACGCGAACGCATATCTAAAGTCGTTTTAAATAAAGTAAATTTTAAATAAATTTTTTTAATTACGTTCTCACGTTTCCCCCCTTTCCCGTCCCCCCTTTTTTCCCCTTCCCTCCTCGGGAAAACCAACGTCACAAAAAAATTAAACTCGGTATTGTTTTGTTAATTGAAAACAATATGATGAGTATAGCGTATATGTTGTATAGAAATTTTTTTTTTTTTTTAATTTAATTGAATACTTTCTTTAAACATTTTTTTTTTTTTTTTATTTTATTTTAAGGTCTACTAATTTTGAAATGTTTCGACCTGGTTTTTATTTAAATCTTCTTTTTATCCTTTATCAATTTATAAATAAAAAAAAAAAAAAAAAAAAAATCA